GTGTCAGCAGACAGCACGCTATGTTAGAACACAAATTTATTTTGCAAAAAAAAGCAGCGTCAAACTGTAACATGCAGAGCAGCATGTTAAAATATTACTCGTTCAATACGGTAATGCCCTAAATCTGTTGATGCATGACAGCAAAGAAATTTTCCATTAATATATACTTTTTTCACATAGTGGGTATGACCAAAGCCGCTCAAATTTTGCAAGATCTAATTTAAAATATGTGAGCCGCTATGTCGAATCCCGCTATTCAGGTGATTCAGACAAGATGCGCGTCGTGCATAGCGCGCGGTGCGCTCGCCAGAGAGGAGGAAGGAGCGCAGCGCCGGTGAAGAGGCTCGCCTGCGGGCCCGGCCCTCATGTTTCAGGTTAGCGCAGTGGTCAGCGACGTCGACAGCAAGCAGCGAGGAAAGTCCAAAGGAGAGGGGCCCGGGAACGAATCCACACTGTCAAAAAAATAAAGTTCAATCGACTAAAATTTAGTGGATTGTACTAAGAGATTTAGTCGTTTTTCAGGGCGACTAAGAATTAGTAGAATTAAGAACACGCCAATCAAGCATGAGTGGACGATAAAAACGACCAAATATTAGTCGAATCAAACAAAACTTAGTCGAAATTTTGACCAAAATATTTAGTCAGTTCCCTTTAGTCGGCTCTTGTGATGTAAGCAGCGGTGACGTCACACCATTTGGAGACTTGATGACGATTTTCTTAGTTTTAGTTGATTCGATCTCCTCGAGATCCTTTTGAGATTACTAAGAACTGCCTCCTCTCCTATTGGTTGGAGAGAATCACGTGACCACACGACCTCCTTCTAAATGTGACGTCAGCGTCCCAGAGGCACTGACACTTAATTAAAGAGTCGAAAAATCGGAGCCTCTGGCGGGTGTCGAACACGCATACCCTGACACGTCGTGCAACAACGCTAACCACTGCGCCACCGACTTGATGGAGGCTGTGTGGCCGAGCGCAGCATCTTGACGGACCTCGCAGGGTGGGCAGCGGCTACACTCAATTAAATTTTAGTTGACTCGACTAAGAATTAGTTTTAGTTCGAATGACCAAAACCAATTGGTCGATTGTACTTAATTTTTTTGACAGTGCAGCCACAGTAGTCCCACCTCGGCCAGCGCCAGTTTCTTTTTTTTCCGGACTCGTATCGGACGGCCCGGAACGAGCCCGACCAGCCCTGTCGGACTCCCCGAAATCCTTCTGATTGTGGTACTTTTCGACCGATTCCCGGCAAGTCCGGGAAAGATTTCGGAACTGTCCGGCGGGGACTGACGGACTGTCCTCCGGAAAATTTCGGATCGTCCGATCGGACACATTTCGGAGCCTTCCCCGTTTTATAAGGGCAGCCAGCTGGTTGCCTATTCCTGTCCAGCAAGGCGCGCGGCGAGCCACCCTTACGCGCGGCGGCGGGAGAGGGAGGGGAGAGGGAAGGGGTGAGGCAGGGGGCGGCAACGGCCTAGGAGGCGCGTGAAGCCATGCGCGAGTAAGGTGCAGGGGTTACTTATTTTGCTCCGATTGTGAGATCTAGGCCGTTGATTGCAAAACGCTTTGCACAGATCGGAAGAGCACAAAATTTGGGGTGCATTAGGCCTAGTAGACTGCCCGATACTTCCAATTCAACGGAACACAAGGGCAAAATCATTTACACCAACATGGCGCATTCGAGTTTTTTCCTAAATTTTATGATTTTTGTGTTTTTTGGTGTTTTTACTGCACCTTAATATTAGGTAAGGGAGGAGTTTCGAGAAGGGCAATTAGCCTAATGCACCCTAAATTTCAAGCACTTTCTATAGGTGCAAAGTGTTTTGAAAAACACAGTCCAGTTTTCATAATCTCGAACAAGTGCGCAACCTCTGCACTGACGGCGCGAGCATCGCTTCACGCTCTCCCTAGGCCGTTGCCACCCCCTGGGTGAGGTGAGCGTCTGCCCACCTCTGCCTCCCTACCCCTCCCCTCTCACCCGTACCATTCCCGGTCTGGATCCGTACCAAATCCGTACTTTCATTTTTACAAGGGATAAAGGGCAAGGACAGCGTTTCTCAACCGTTTTCGGTTCGCGACCCCAAATTTGTAGCGAAAAATTTCCGCGACACCCAGGAAAAATTTCGTGACCCCACGTGATCCCTCCTTTAGCATGCCTTTGATACAAAGTGCGATAATCCACCTTAGTTTCGAAGCAGTATTGCAGCAAAAATGATCGAAACGGTCACAAATGTCTTTGAAAAATCGCGTTTTGGGCCGACTTTAAGCAGCCACTGCGTCTAATCCGAGGCGGTATTTCGTGCTCCCTCAATGGACAATTGGTCTTTGGGCCTTCCTTTAGCATGCCTTTGTTACGGAGTGCGATTATCTGCCTTAGTTTGGGAGCAGTATTGCCGCAAACTTGATCAAAACGTTCACAAATGTCTTTGAAAAATCGTTTTTTGGGCTGACTGTAAGCATCCACTGCGTCTGATCCTAGGCGGTATTTCGTCCTCCATTAGCAGGCAATTGGTCTTTGGACCTTCCTTTGGCATGCGTTTGTTGCGGAGTGCGATTATCTGCCTTAGTTTGGGAGCAGTATTGCCGCAAAGTTGATCAATACACGATTTTTCAGACATTTGTGACCGTTTTGATCATTTTTGCGGCAATACTGCTCCCAAACTAAGGCAGATAATCGCACTCCGCAACAAACGCATGCTAAAGGAAGGTCCAAAGACCAATTTCCCGTTGAGGGAGGATGAAATACCGCATTAGATCAGACGCAGTTGCTGCTTAAGGGGGGACATCACTCCAAAATGATAAAAAATTGCAACTTTTTTTTATTTGTTAATATTATAGATTATTCTTTTCTGCGTCGAATGGCGTAAACCGCATTCCGAAATTCAAAAAATTGCAGTTTTAGGAGGTTATGGGCCGCAGACATGCATAGGGGAAAAGCCCAGTTTCCCCAACTTTGATCGCGTTTTTCTCGGAACATGAAATTGCAAACGGTTGCAGGCCTCTAGGGCGCAGTTTTTGAGCTACAGCGGGGAGATTTAGCATGGAAGCTCCTACAACAAGCCGCTATGGTGGGTAGCAAAATAATTTGCATTGGTCAATTTTTATTATTTTTTTAACGTTTAAAATTGAACAATTTTGACCAAAAAAATTGAACAATTTTTTTTGGTATGTAACAAATACAACTTAAAATGATTTTTTAAATGTGATTGAGGTACCCACCATAGCCAGACATCTCAGGAAGGCTGTCACCAAATTTCGTTGTTCTACGTCAAACCGTTTGGCGTCCAGCGCTGCAACAGTGCGAAATGGTCTAACCTAACACCCAAAAATGTGTTTTCAACGAAAGCGCTGTACTGCCCTGGCGGATTGACTTTGTGTTGTTTTGTACTTTATCTGTTAAAATATGAACAATTTATCTCTTTCCGTTTAGTTTTTATGACGTTTTTACAAAAGCACTGTTTTTGGAGTGATGTCCCCCCTTAAAGTCAGCCCAAAACACGATTTTTCACAGACAATTGTGACCGTTTTGATCAATATTGCGGCAATACTGCTCCCAAATTAAGGCAGATAATCGCACTCCGTAACAAAGGCATGCTAAAGAAAGGTCTAAAGACCAATTGCCCGTTGAGGGAGGACGAAGTACCGCCTCGCATCAGACGCAGTGGATGCCTAAAGTCGGCCCAAAACACGATTTCTTAAAGACATTTGTGACTGTTTTGATCAACTTAAAAGTTGTTCCCGCCAGTGCTCGGCGTGTGGGCCAGCTGGGAAACCGCCGCCACCCCAAGCGACCCCAGTTATACCTCGCCGCGACCCCTCGAAATTTTTTCGCGACCCCAAGGTTGAGAACCACTGGGCAAGGATAAAGCGAGCCACGAAATTGTGATAAAGATACGTGAGAAGTTCAACGTCAATATCACACGGCCGCAGCATCACGAACCTTTTCGTTTCAAACATGGTGTTTGTTTACATTTCAACCAACGCACAGCGCGGGGAGGGTGAGAGGGGAGGGGTAGGGAGGCAGAGGTGGGCAGACGCTCACCTCACCCCTTCCCTCTCCCCTCCCTCTCCCGCCGCCGCGCGTAAGTGTGGCTCGCCGCGCGCCTTGCTGGACAGGAGTACGCAACCAGCTGGCTGCACTGTGAGATTGGCTCGACGCTCGACGAGCGAGCACATCTTGCATCTCTCTCGCACTCAAGGCGGCTAGTGGGTTAGACAAGGATGGCTGCCGAGCGGCGCGCTGCCTTGCCTGGCATCGAACCGACCGCCGCTCGCAGCGAGGCAGCGCGTTGCGAGCTCGGCTACGCAGCCGAAGCCAAGCGTGGTGCCGATCGGAGCGGGTTGTGCGACGGCCCGCTCCTCTGGCGGTCCGGGCCGCCACCCGGCCCGTGCTCAGGGTGGCGGCATGGAGACACACTATCTGGTAGTGTGTCTCCATGGTGGCGGGCCGGGCTGGGCGCTCTGGCCAAGCAGCCGCAGTTCGGGCGCCGCGCTGCGCTGGAGTCACTTGGTGCGCACTTTTGCCTGCGGGGGGCTTTGCCCGGGTGATGCCTCAACAAGCCGGACAGTTGCCCAAAGTTGCCCGATAGTTGCTCAGAGTTGCCCGGGTGTTGCCCGGATGTTGCCCGGAGTTGCCCGGATGTTGCCCGGGTGTTGCCCGGGTGTTGCCCGGTAGTTGCCCACCGGGTGCCGGGCAGGGCTCGGGCTGTGCTCGACCCCTGCTCACCTTTGCGCAAAGTTGCCTGGAGAAATTTTATCTGGGGTAGGCAACTTATCGTGCCGGGGACGATCACGAAGTGTTGCCTACCTCGTAGGCGTGCTGTTACGCTGCAGGGATAGAGCCCTGCAAGGCTATTAACCCTCTCGATTTAAAGAATCCGGAAAATACCAAATCTCAACAACACCGGTCATCATTATGATGATTGAAACGCCATCCATAATTTTGTCATGAAGTAAAAACAATGTTTTTCAGTTAATTTGAATCATTTCTTTTTGTACAGGCCCAGCTGGCAGTTTGGCTTCACTGCCCACCGGGTCCGTCGGTCCTCGGGTTTTGGACCTCGCCGGTGAGTCATTTTTACTCGTGTAAGTCCACTCTGAAAACCAGAGTGTGTGCTAAGCACGCACCCACAAAACTTATGTGTGTGCTCAGTACACTCCACGAATCACGTGCTTTACAAAAATGCGCTTCACGGCGTGTATACTTGAATGAGCACCGCGCCTCGAACTATACTCAGTAGCTCGCAATTGGAGGTGGATGCTTGGTATAGGGACAGCATGCGCCTTCAAGAGTGTGCTGTGCTCACTGAGTAACACTCTTTGAGGCGCGCACTTGTGCAAGTACACTCCTCGAAGCGCATGTTCACTGGTGAAATTAAAATGAAGCAGTGACTAAGTTTGTAAGCACGCGTCACGAGCAGTATACTGAGTAGACACATACGTTTCGTGGGTCCTGCACGGGGCAGGGTCGACATGAGCCCCATCCCGATTGAGCCCCGATGACCTGAGCCCCGGCCAGAGCCCCATCCGAGCCCGACTTTAGCCCCGACTCGAGCCTCGACTGAGCCCCGATGGCCAGAGCCCCGATGGCCAGAGCCCCGACCTAGCTGAGCCCGGTTTGGCCCCCGACCTGAGCCCCACGCCAAAAAAACTTCCACTTTTAAAACTGTTTTTTTGAAGATTTTGGGTCAAATTGCAACGTTTTTGACGCGGGGCTCAAGTGGGGCTCAGGTCGGGGCTCCGGCCATCGGGGCTCGAGTCGGGGCTCGAGTCGGGTTCGGCCGGGGCTCTGACCGGGGCTCAGGTCATCGGGGCTGAAGCGGGATGGGGCTCATATTGACCCTACCCTGCACGGAGCCAACAGGCGACGCACTTGTGCAGATCGTGTCGCGGGGCGCCTGGGAGGCAGGCAACCCAACGTGCCGGGTACGATAAGTTGCCTGCCTGCCGGGCGCTGTGCGAGCAAAGCACCCTGATTCCCGGCCCAGCGCTACAAGGCGCCGCGCCGGTGACCAAAACTCTGGACGCGTTTTGGGCTGCAGAGTCGATAAACAGGTCTCGAACCGAGCGTGTGACCGTACGAAGGGATTCCTTGTCCCGGTGGGGTCACACGATCGGTTCGGGTTCGAGTCCCACTTGGTGACTCTGGAGCTCAAAACGCGTCTGGGATTTTGACTACCTCTATAGGTCTTCAAGGGTATATTTTGAAACGGCCATTCTGACAACAAAAGCCTCTCATCTTTAGTCTCCTGGTTCAGATGCTGTGCCTCTGCCGTACTAAAATGTGTTCCAAGCCCTACAAAGAGTCAACCACGAGGCACGCACTTCGTTTGCTGCGCCAGGAATGCTAGTGCTTGCTTGGCACACACTTGAACTCGCGGAGAGCTGACCTCGAAATGAGCGTTTCATTCCTAACAACTTCTGTTCCTCACTAACCCCGAATAAGGACGAAGTGTGACGTTTGCAGTTCGGCGACAAGTTTTTTCGATACCTAACTGGATTGTTTTCTTTATGTTCCAGGCCCAGATCCTCCTCAAGAACCGTTATTCTCAATCACCGCCGAGCGAGAAAAGCTGGAGAAGTTGCGCACCAGGTTAGACAGCCTGACGACGGGGAACGAGGGCATCAGAAAGCCCAAGGGCTTCAAGACGAAACTGAAGCCCCACCAGATGGAGGCCCTCAAGTGGATGGTGGCCAAGGAGAAGGAGGTGCCGTCCGGCGGCATCCTGGCCGACGACATGGGGCTGGGGAAGACGGCCTCCATGATCGCGCTCATCATGAAGAGCAAGGAGAAGACGTTCGCGCCGGCGGCCATGAGCACCGACGGCTCGGGCAGCTCGGACGACGAGGACGAGGAGCGGAGCGGCGGCAAGCCCAAGGGCGGCACGCTCATCATCTGCCCGCTCACCCTGATCGACCACTGGGAGCACGAGGTCATGACACACGTCAAGAAGGGCCTGTCGGTGGCCAGGCACCACGGCCCGACTCGCCGCACCGACCCCGAGAAGCTGGCCAAGCTCAACGACGTGGTCATCACCACGTACGGCGTGGTGCGGCAGGAGGCCAACAAGGGCCCGCTCTTCAAGATGTCCTGGGAGCGGGTCATCCTGGACGAGGCCCACGAGGTGCGCAACCCGGAGTCGCTGGGCTGCAAGACGGTGAGCAGCCTGGAGGCTGACCACCGATGGTGCGTCACCGGCACGCCCATCCACAACTCGCTGCTGGACCTGCACGCCCTGTACAAGTTCCTCAACTGGGCGCCGTTCAGCGACAGGGAGACGTGGGAGGCTTTTTTCGGCGTCGGCGATTTGAGGGACGCCCGTCTGTGGGAGCTGCTGAAGAGTGTCTCGGTCAAGAGGCGGACCAAGAGGGAGTATGGCGACGGCGGCAGCGTTGCCTTGCCCCTCAGGGAAGTAGTCCACGTGATCGTGGACATGGACATCAACGAGAGGCACACTTACGACGAAGTGGCCAAAATTATGAGTCGATTGGCGACAGAAGTTCCAGCAGGCCAGGACCCCAATAAATCAAAGAAGAAGGGCATGTACGGGATTCTGATGCTCCGGCAAATGTGCAACCACCCAAGTCTCTTGAAAGAGGAACAGGTATGCTCTTTTCGAACTCAACACTACATTTTCTTCCGCTTGTATTCTCGAGTTCTCGTGTACTCAGATGAGGACTTACCTAAGTATGCCTGGCAGTGTATCCAGCTGAAGGTGTGTACTTACCTGAGAGCCGCTCTCTAGGGAGTGTACTCAATTGAGTACATGCTCCTGCGAGTGTACTGGTGTACGAAACCGTGCCGAAGAGAGTATATACACTGTTCGGTTTACTGAGTACCGTAGAGCGGGGTGATTCGGGACATAAACGTCATGGGGAAGGTTTAGCGCTTGCTGCCCTCTAGCGGCGACTTCGAGAGGGGTGGACGGTAATTGATCGAGGAGACCATGGCCAAACAAACCGCCAAGAACCAATCAGCTGACTCAAACGTATAGTGAGTGAATACACTGCAGTGTAATGTAATATTGAATGTCTCCAACACCGGTAAAACTGAAGCGTAGTTGTATGCTTGATTCAAGCATACAACTACGCTTGAAGACTTTACGCTTGACGTCAAGCGTAGAGAAGAAATTCCCCCATGCATTTAGATAGGCGGGAGAGGGGCAAAATGGAGAACTATGCTTGAAGCCGAGCGTAGGTCTACTACGCTTGAAGAAAGGCGTAAAACTATGCTTGAGTTCTACCAGTGAAAACCTGCGAAATAGAAAAAACTCTTGAAAAATGTCCTTGGCTACCATCAAGAACCTATAAAGCCCCAATCCGACTGACTCACTGACTCACTCACTCACTGACTCACTCACTCATAGAAATGTTTGGGGTGAAGGAGTGGTCGTAGAGACTTGCGGTTTTTTCCATTCGATTCCAAATTTTATGGGAAAATTGGGAAAAATCCCAAAAGTTGAAAATTCCTCACCGTTTCCGAGAAAACCTACTTTATCTACAAAAAAGGGGAACAAATTTCTCACCGTTTCCGAGCAAACCTACTCAATCTTCAAAAAAGGGGACCGACCGACTAAAAATTTTTATTCGCCCCATCGGTAGGTCTGGTCGAGACATTTCCGAATCTGTGCCGCAATCCGGTCTCCGTCACTGGCAACATCCTAAAAACGATATAATAATATATAAAAATACGATTTCAAGAAATCCTAGGAGTCACGAAGTCAATTTGATTATTGTGTAAGAGTGTGGAGAAAGAAAAGAAGTGGTGTTGTGAAGTTGTGGCTCAGGGGACTACACGGTAAAAACGGTTCCTGGTTTTCCCAGGAACCCCCTGGAAATCGCCTATGTCTTCGCCATAGGGCTCCTGGGAAAACCAGGCACCGTTTTTACCGTGTACCAATGGCAGTGGTACCAATGCGGTCGATGTGCCATCCGTCGAAATTTAAACTTGACAATAAATAGAAATCAAAATGCTGGTAAATTCAAAAAATTCCAATGCTAATGTATTCCGCAGTGTTCTGACAATGGAACATCTTTGAAGTCCATCATGGTTAAAATGTTCTTAGCAGAAAGAAGTCAGTAAATTAATTTTCTCGGGTTGGCAACTATTTTCTCGGCGTCTGCGCCCTTGCGAAAATCGCGAAGCTGAAAGCGCCAGCAGTCGCGCATTAAAACTGCCCCTCCATTGTTGTGGACGTTGAATTGTTTGGCTTGTTTCAAAAGGCTATGGTTCTCTAGTCATGTTTTCTTCAATTCTGTGTAATAGTTCTCCCTTACAACGTATCAACACCACGACGGTTGGTTTGACAAACTTCATAAACTCGGGAGGGATGGTTTCGAAACGCGGGTGAGTCTTGTTCGAGGAACATGAGCACTGCAAGTCGCGAGGTGGAGCGAAGTGGTCCTAGTGCTAACTGAATCACAACAACAACACTGCGCATGTCCAAAAACACTCCAATCAAGAAGTATTATTGGATAGTTCTACCCGAAAAACTGCGTTCGAACCGGCACCAATTCTATTGTTGCATCTTGTCTACCTGCAGTCAAAGAAATTTTTCATTTCGAACGTTGCTTTTTCAGCTTTTGGAGTAAGCTGTACAGACCCAAAAAGAAGCTCCGCTATTGGTCCGCCCCGGCTCGGCTCCCCCCACTCCCTTTTTTTTCCTTTGACGAGTCGAGTTTTGCCATGGAAACGGCGATTTTGACAGCAAATTTCTCAAAATTGGCCACCAAATTTTTGACCAGATTTCAACATCAGAATCAGCGTTCAAAGTTCTACTAGTCTGCAAAATCTCATTAAAATCGTATAGAAAACTTCCGAAATGCATAAAGGGCCACACAAATCAAATCTCGAGCCGGCTGAGTCCTGGGTATACTATAAGGCTACTTCGTGCCTAAAAATAGGCCTAAATTCAACAAAATCCACTCAATCTTCAAAAAAGGGGACCGACCGACTGAAAATTTTTATTCGCCCTATCGGTAGGTCTGGTCGAGACATTTCCGAAACTGTGCCGCAATCGGGTCCCCGTCACCGGCAACACCCTCAAAAACGATTAAATAGGCCTAAATTCAAAAAAAAACCCACTCAATCTTCAAAAAAGGGGACCGACCGACTGAAAATTTTTATTCGCCCCATCGGTAGGTCTGGTCGAGACATTTCCGAAACTGTGCCGCAATCGGGTCCCCGTCACCGGCAACATCCTCAAAAACGATAAAATAGGCCTAAATTCAATAAAATCCACCCAATCTTCAAAAAAGGGGACCGACCGACTAAAAATTTTTATTCGCCCCATCGGTAGGCCTGGTCGAGACATTTCCGAAACTGTGCCGCAATCGGGTCTCCGTCACCGGCAACATCTTCAAAAACGATTAAATAGGCCTAAATTCAACAAAATCCACTCAATCTTCAAAAAAGGGGACCGACCGACTAAAAATTTTTATGCGCCCCATCGGTAGGTCTGGTCGAGACATTTCCGAAACTGGGCCGCAATCGGGTCTCCGTCACCGGCAACATCCTTAAAAACGATTAAATAGGCCTAAATTCAACAAAATCTACTCTATCTTCAAAAAAGGGGACCGACCGACTAAAAATTTTTATTCACCCCATCGGTAGGTCTGGTCGAGACATTTCCGAAACTGTGCCGCAATCGGGTCTCCGTCACTGGCAACATCCTCAAAAAACGATTTAATAGGCCTAAATTCAACAAAATCCACTCAATCTTCAAGAAAGGGGACCGACCGACTAAAAATTTTTATGCGCCCCATCGGTAGGTCTGCTCGAGACATTTCCGAAACTGGGCTGCAATCGGGTCTCCGTCACCGGCAACATCCTTAAAAACGATTAAATAGGCCTAAATTCAACAAAATCTACTTTATCTTCAAAAAAGGGGACCGACCGACTAAAAATTTTTATTCACCCCATCGGTAGGTCTGGTCGAGACATTTCCGAAACTGTGCCGCAATCGGGTCTCCGTCACTGGCAACATCCTCAAAAAACGATTTAATAGGCCTAAATTCAACAAAATCCACTCAATCTTCAAGAAAGGGGACCGACCGATTAAAAATTTTTATTCGCCCCATCGGTAGGTCTGGTCGTGACATTTCCGAAACTGTGCCGCAATCGGGTTCCCGTCACCGGCAACATCTTCAAAACGATGAAATGGGCCTAAACTGAACAAAATACAACCGTTTCCAAGCAGTAAAAGCCATGTAATATATTGCGTCTTAAACCTGGCCGGAGAAATCTGTAGAAATCAGAAATGAAAGACCCAAAAGAGGCCCATTAGTTTGGCCTTCGGTCACATAGACCATAATGAACACAGATCTTATTCTTGTCAAAGCAGTCTTCAATATTTTCCGGACCTTGAATGCCGTTGACTGCCACAGTAGCCAATACAATACAAGCTATCTATTTGGGCAGTAATAGTACCTTAAAAATTAATGGTCAAAAGCAGTTAAATAGACCCTTCCAAAAAGCAGTACAGTTACTTCATAAGAAAATTTTCCTTTGGTCACCACGGACTTACTAAAAATACTTCGGTACGCGCCCCACACATGCGGGGGTCTGGGGGCGGAGCCCCCAGCGAGCAGCGCGAGTAGCTTTCTATAACCCAAGCCTACCGAAACCAACTTCTCTTTTTGCTCTTGTATGTAGGGATGATACGTAGGAAGTTTGGTAAGGGTGCCTCATCTGGTTAGGGTTCTGCATGGATTTAAACATTTCTGTGAAAATTTTCAGAGAAATTACGGGACACAGTGGTCCGCTTCCACAAAAGGGGCCCACAGCGCTTCGCAGATCATGTGGTGCGGAGGACGCTGTCTGGGCCAAAGGTGTCAAAATCGAACTAAAATTTTTTTTAAGCTCTTCCACGCCCTTAAAAAAATTGCAAACCAAAAATTAGGTCATTTGGAAAATTTTTGACCCATCAGGCAGAAAGTCTTGAATATCCGGTTCTTTTGGCAAAGACAGCGTCTGTAGTAAAAAAACTCCCAAGACCATTATTTTACCATAAAAATAAGTTTGAGTTCGAGGTCGTGGAAATAGTACAATGGGACCCGTCAATCGACATTTTTCGTCAGTGTCCCCAATTTCTCAAAAATGCGGGAAATTCGGGACATCGGTAAAAATTTGTGGCGAGGCTTCCCTATAGCACTCCGAAGAAGCTCTGGCCCGGAAGAAGAAGAAGAAGAAGAACAAAAACGGAAAAAAAGAAATTGCAGTTTCTATGAGAAATATACGCTGCGAGGTCATCCGCAGCGTATATTTCTCATACACTGAGAATCCAAACGCTATGAGTATGGCGTCAATTGGTGCAATGCAAAAGCATTGCACATGAAATGCAATACCTCCCCATTCCCATGCATTAGCGTAGGGCCTTTTCGGGATGCATTGCACGTAAGGTGAAGGCTGTGGCATAGCACGTATGGCACGATATCTCAGCTGCATTGCACCATACGTGCTATACTCATAGCGTTTGGAATCTCAGTGTAGAAACTGCAATTTCTTACTTCCGTTTTTGTTCTTCTTCCGGGCTGGAGCTTCTTTGGAGTGCTTTATTGCCCTTTGGTCAAAATAGACGAAAAGAGCCAAGGAGCTTACCGTAAAATCGCCGGACCATACGGTAACAACGTACTATGGGTTTTCCTCCAAAAACCTCAAAAAAGTCCCGAATTACCTCGCTCTACGGTACTCATCCTAGCCCTAATGCTTAAACCTCTCACTCAGTGATGCTGTCTGTGATTTGAGGAGAATATTTGACTCGTCAATAAAGTACTAACACGTTTGTTTTTCAGGGCTGCATCAACGAAGACCTTGACCTAGATGAGCCAACGACCGTGAACGATGCGAAGGAGGACTTAGAAGCCGACGGAGGGCGGAACAAGAACTTTCTTCAAATTCAAGATGAATGGAATGGAACAAAACGAGACCTCCAGAACTACATGGACACAGACCAGTGTAGCAATGAGTTTTTTTCCCGTTCGCGCCCGAGTACAAAGGTTTGTATCCTTTGTTTTGATATTGACCAGCGTGCACACTAAATGTTTATGTAGAATTTTGTACGTGCCACCTGCACGATTTTGTGCATGCGGGGAATTTGCATAATATTATGCGTGAAAATGCATAAATTTATGCGAATTTCTGCACAATTTTATGCAAAACGTCACGCAGGTTTAAAATCGTGCATTCTACATAAACATTTAGTGTGTGTAAGACACTCTCTGCAGGAACGTGACATCACGTTCAAATGAATGTGATAAACTGTCACGTTTCTTTGAACATTGTGTCACAATCGTTTGAATGTGAACGAGAATTTATGGCTGATTTACACCCAAAAGAATGTGACACAATGCTCAAACGAACGTGACATTTTGTCACACTCGTTTGAACGTGACATTTTGCCCTTGCATGCCGGTTTTGGCAACAGACTTTCCACCCGCTGCTGATGCGTATCGCTGTGTTGAAGGCCAGATTTTCTGTAAGGCCAACGAGCTCCTTTCTTACTCTTTCATTCTTTTGATTTAGATGGAGAAATTGTTGGAGATACTTCGTGAGGTATTGGCTCTCAATGACAAGGCTGTGATTGTCAGCCAGTGGACAAAGATGCTGGAATTGGTGTCTACCTCCCTAAAACAACACAATATCTCGCATGCTACAATTAGCGGCGATGTTCCGAGTCCGGACCGTCCAAAGGTCGTAAGTGACTTCAACAATCCATCAGACCCGTTGAAGGTGAGGAAAGAGTGCTGCGGGAGAACAGTGCTGCGGGAGAACCCTCGGCAGTTTCAGTCCATGCATGCGCACTCTAAGCTCTCGTACATTGCATAATGAACGAGGGTTACCCACTAATGTGTACACAGAATTCTGGATACACTCAATTCTTGAATTATCCTCACTCACTTATGAAGTAAGGACCAAGCAATTACTGAGTGATTTGTTTAAATGTCACAAAACTATATGCTTAAAACATTGCGAAGTATTTTGAGCGGTACAAACTAATTTAGTTTGTTATGCGAAGAAATAGTTACGACCCATTTTCTTTGTAAGCTTACGTATGCTCAAAATGCTGTTATATGAAGCTACTTTACTTCGTAAGGCTGAAATAGTTGGCAAAGTTTTCAGAGTGTGCCAATACATTCATATTGACCATTTAAGAACTGCCGATAAATTTTCGTCTGAGTTACGAATGATACCCGGACTTAGCGTACACACCATTCTTGAAGTGGGTGACCCAGTCCCGCAATAATGCAGCTTTGAGTTAACGGCGTTAATCTGAACAGGTCCTGCTCCTGTCGCTGAAAGCCGGAGGAGTCGGTCTGAACCTGGTTGGCGGAAATCATCTCATTTTATTCGACCCACACTGGAATCCACAGCTGGAGGCTCAGGCCTGTGACCGTGTCTATCGGATGGGTCAGATGAAGCCAAAAGTCACCATTTACAAGTAAGAGGGTTGTTCGTTGAAACGGGACCAAGTTCATATTTTACCTCATATGACGTCACATTGTTTAATAACATGGCATACAGGACATGAGCCCCGTCCCGTTTGAGCCCCGATGGTCTGAGCCCCGACTTGAGCCCCAACCTGAGCCCGGGTTGAGCCCCGACTTGAGCCCCGACCCAAGCCCCAATTTTCAGAGCCCGGATTGAGCCCCGACCTGAGCCCCGTTTGAGCCCCGTTTGAACCCCATTTGAGCCCCACTTGAGCCCCGCGACCTGAAATCAGGCATTTTTGCATGATTTATTGCCACGGGGCTCAAGTGGGGCTCAAATTGGGCTCAAACGGGGCTCAAACGGGGCTCAGGTCGGGGCTCAATCCGGGCTCTGAAAATTGGGGCTTGGGTCGGGGCTCAAGTCGGGGCTCAACCCGGGCTCAGGTTGGGGCTCAGGTCGGGGCTCAGACCATCGGGGCTCAAACGGGACGGGGCTCATGTCCTGTATGCCAATAACATTGCAAAGAAAGTGTTAACACCTTTCACACTGCACATCCAAGGGTGAGAGTGTCTCACACTGTTTAGTGTGAACCACTTTATCTCACGCTTACAAGCGTGAGCCACGCTTATCCCACGCTTGCACGTGTGAGACACTGTTTGTCTCGCTCTTACAAATGTAAGACTCACTGGTAAAACAAAGGCATAAAAATTACGCCCTTTAGAGCATAAATACTCTTACGCCCTTCCCAACACACTAAATGTTTGTGTACAATTTTGTACGTGGTGATGCATAATTTTAAACACTTGTGTGCCGTCGTGCATAAAATTGTGCGTGAATTTGCATAAATTTATGCATTTTCGCGCATAATAAGGGAAGGTGGGGTACCATGTGACACGGCCACCATGTGACTTTGGCTTTTTCTTCCCAACGGCTTGCTATCCAACAGCGGTAAGAAGACTCAAAGGAAGGTATCATGAAGGAGAATCGACGTGCAATAGGTCGTGACTCTCCTTCGAAAAGGACGGGAATGGTAGCGATCAGAATTGGAAACCGTCTTAAAATAGCTCATTGGAAACTTTTTCTACTTCCCGCCGCGTCCGCTTTTTACCTTTAAAATACATTTTAAGGACATATGCTCTGCAAGATGTTCTTCTTTGATGTTTTAAGGGCAAAATAAGCTTTGGCTCGAACTTTGAGCGTTATTGCTGTTTCCCCTAAAACTGTTGATCTGGGCACCATGTGACACCACTGTCATTCGCTATGGGATTCCACGATTCACTCAGTTGAATGTGTTCAGTCTATGACATTTGTACACTAGTGACTAAAACCTTTATTGCTCGGGAACAAAAGATGATAAATTGATAAACTCAACGGAAATAAAAAGCTGGAAGACTTCTTCGTTCATTCTCTGCGTATAGGTACGCTGAATAGGATTTAAACCCAGACAAAAGGCCACTGCCACATTGTACACTAAGGCTGTCACATAGTGTACTACGTGGGGTACGAAGTGACACTTTGACTTGGCCCATTCAACTCGGGATAACTCAGCAACCAAAACAGATAAATTAGAAATCTCAACAGAAATTATAAGGTTAAGAATCATTATGTTCACATGTCTACTTATGGATGTAATGTGATTGGTATTATTGGGTTGACGGGCATTTAACAAAAACCGTCACATGGTACCCCACCTTCCCTTACAAAATTCTACATAAACATTTAGTGTGAAGGGCATAAATCGTTTTATGCCCTTGGGAAGGGCGTAAATGGTATAGGACTTTCAAGCAAAATTTTAATGCCGTTCTCAGGCATTAACGATTTATGCCCTTTAAGGACGTAAATCGTTTACGCCCTTAAAGGGCATAATTTTAATGCCTTTGTTTCACCAGTGCTGTGAAACTGTTGCCTAATTCTCACCCTCACAATGTGTCTTATCCCTCCCCCCTTTCTCTAAGGTTCGTCGTAAGAGACTCGATCGAAGAAGTGATCCTAGAGAAGCAGAAGGAGAAGCTGAGCTTGGCGGAGACCGTGCTCGACAACCCGAGCGTGCGGAACATCCGCAAGATGACTCACTTCGACGAGGACGAAGACGCCGTCGCTAGGATCCTACACTATGAAGCCAGGCGCTGCAACAAGCGGAAGGCGCTGGAATGAGCAACGCAGTGCTGAGGTCAATGACAGACTGAGTTCAGGTGAGAGCCTGATAAACGGACTCAAATAATGGGAGGATTTCACAGTTAATTACTACGTTTGGTGCATAGCTCTTTGCACTGAATTGAGCATGCGCGTGAAACGCTCGAATCTTAGCGCAACGACACACACTTTCGTGCTAAGTTACGCAGAAGTTCGTGCATTTTAAAACGCATCTACAGTCTTGTGAAAAGCTTAGGCCTATGCACTAAAAAATACACAGTAATTTAGTGTGACTGATTACCATATCCAATTCACTGAAAATCTATCGGCGTGACTTCGTGCCGTAGGGGCGTGAATAAAGTGTCACGCCATTAAACGGCATGGCACAAAAGTCACGCCAAAAATCGGCGTGACTCAAAACTTCACGCCAATTTTTGGCGTGAATTTCTTGTCATGCCGCTTTTTGGCATGACATTTCTCATAAAAAGCGTCGTCATTCACGCCAAATGTGGGCGTGACTCACATGTCAGGCCGTTTATCGGCGTGAATTTTGAGTCACGCCAATGTTTGGCGTGACTCTTTGTCACGCCATAATTTGGCTATGTGTCCGACCATTACGTTCTCAGTGTAAAATGCATCAGTTGTTACCTCTCCCTACACCGTGCAAAAAAGATATTCGGCTAAAATCCCTGTAAATTATATAAAAGAAAATTGGTGTTAAAGAAAAAGAGATACCTTACAGCCCTCGCTAAAATTAGAAGAATGCAATCTGAACGTGAAAGCAGGTCCAATTAACCGCACTGACTTAACCCAGGGTCATTCCATGGGGGTTCGACATACTTTTGCAAGTGATCTCTCCGATTTCGATGAAATTTTGCGAGCTTGTTGGCTATGGTCTGAAACCCCCCAAAACCAATTTTGAGCAAAAAATACCGATTTTTGAAAAAGTTATGGCTTGCGTTAGAAATTTTGATTTTCGTTGCAGACCTTTTTTGAAAACGCTGTAGTTTCTTCCAAAATGAAGCTACAGAGCTCATTCTGGGCGCATTCGAAAGGTATTGAATTGGACTTTAAGCCTATTGCAACATTTTGACAAATATGTTCAAATTTGACAAAAATTAAACAAAGTCAAAATTTTGAACACAATTTTCTCAAAAGTAGTATTTTTGATTTTTTTTTCTTTTTTGATATGTTATAGTTCATATTTTAGTCTAGCAACCCTCAAAATTTGGTTGGAAAAAAATCATAAACAAGGGAGAAAAACGGTTTTTAGTGTTGCGATTCGGCAAATTTTTGCTAGTTGGAGTGGTGTGGAGAGGAGCATGATGCATATTTGAGACCGCAGGTTCTCGATCTTGAAATTCTAGTGTCACTCGGAACAGTTATTTGGGGTGCTAAACCTAAAAGTAACATCAATTTTCGTTTTCGAAATTCCCAGGGGCGGATCAAGAGGGGTGTCTTTTCAAAAATCAGGATTTTTGGATGTTGCATATCGTTTTTTATATTTTTGGGAGCGGAGACAACTAATCGTGAATCATCTTGAATGCAAGTTCGCTCCAAAGCTGATCCAACGTATTGTCAAAACATCCAAACTCGGATAAGTCACCCCCTTTGGCTCACCTCGCCCCTGGTAATCTCAACAACGGGGTGCGTCAATGGGGGTGACTTTTCCGAATTCGAGATGTTTGGATGTCGAAGTTGATTCTTGTGTTTACAGGGGTGTAGGTATCAACACTAGCTTTACTTTTTGCAATGGGCCAAAGATGTTCACATTTGGAGGCTTTTTGATCATCTATTTGCACATTTTTATGTTTTGACGATACGTTAGATCAGCTTTAGAGCTTACTTGCATCCAACACCGTTCAAGATTCGTTATCTCCACCCCTGAAAACATAGAAATCGCGTTGCAAAATCCAAAAATCCTGATTTTTGAAAAGTCGCCCCTCTTGATCCAGCCCTGGGAATTTCGAAAACGAAAATTGATCTTATTTTTAGGTTCAGCACCCCAAATAACTGTTCCGAGTGACACTAGAAGTTCAAGATCGAGAACCTGCGGTCTCAAATATGCATCATGCTCCTCTCCACACCACTCCAACTAGCAAAAATTTGCCGAATCGCAACACTAAAAACCGTTTTTCTCCCTTGTTTAAGATTTTTTTCCAACCAAATTTTGAGGGTTGCTAGACTAAAGTATGGACTATAACATATCAAAAAAGAAAAAAAAGAAAAATTAAGGGAAGGTGGGGCACAATGGGACACTTTTCTTTAAATTGACGTAGGCAACTGAATATTTGACTTAGAATGCCCCAAACCGACCTCAACGATAGTAAATCATGTACTCTTTAAAGTGGTGGGATGTGTACTATTGTTTTTTAATGTCATCAGGTACATTTCTTCATTTTCGCAAAACATTGCACTTGTCCCATTGTGCCCCGGTCTGGGGCACAATGGGACACCCCCTGGGGTAGGATGGGACTCTGCGTCTTTTCATCGAAAATATAAGTTTTAAGAGCTGTAAACGCCGACATATGCAAAGTCCAATGTTTATTGACTCTTAAGACAAAATTGTGGAAGTATTTTGAGTAGCACATATACGGAAAACGCATCATACCCAATGAGTGCTGTCAACATGGAAGATGACCTTAAATTAAAACAAAACAAAACTGACTTCACTTTCACATTTTGCTCTTGAGTAAAAATGCAACACGGAGACATGTCAATAGTGAAGTACTCGATGTATTTTGAAATAGTTTTGTTAACAAAGGGGTTGGGGCATAATTAGACAGTAAGTGGGCTGTCCCATTGTGCCCCAACCGGGTCTGTCCCATTGTGTACCGAACGACACATCCGACCAGCCGCGGTCTAGCAACATGACCACTCATCCGGCAGCGTGGCGACACGAGTCACAGACGCGCAAAGGGTCAAGGAACAGGCCCCTGTTTCAAAATCTCATCTACCTTAATTATCTTCCGAGCTACAGGTATTAATAAATCGAGTGCTCGTGCTGGTTTAACCTTAATCTTAGTGTTTGTAAACTTCGTAGCTACCTGCCCTGGCGGGAGAAGGTCGATCGGGGTAAACTCCTCGTGTCAACTTATCTACTACTCATAAGCTATCTCACCTCGTGATTGGGAGATCCCACGGCAACCGGAAGGCGGCCAATTTGAAAGTGTCCCATTGTGCCCCGTGTCCCATTGTGCCCCACCTTCCCTTACTACTTTTGAGAAAATTGTGTTCAAAATTTTGACTTTGTTCAATTTTTGTCAAATTTGAACATATTTGTCAAAATGTTGCAATAGGCTTAAAGTCCAATTCAATACCTTTCGAATGCGCCCAGAATGAGCTCTGTAGCTTCATTTTGGAAGAAACTACAGCGTTTTCAAAAAAGGTCTGCAACGAAAATCAAAATTTCTAACGCAAGCCATAACTTTTTCAAAAATCGGTATTTTTTGCTCAAAATTGGTTTTGGGGGGTTTCAGACCATAGCCAACAAGCTCGCAAAATTTCATCGAAATCGGAGAGATCACTTGCAAAAGTATGTCGAACCCCCATGGAATGACCCAGTGGAAATTATCCATGGGGTACACTCTAAATGTCTTACAATGAAATTTGACCTATGTTATTCGTATGTTACAGTGAATTCGGCGCAAGCCTAATACGAAGCAATATTCCTTCGTAATACGAATCTTTTTAGCCTTTTCATTGTAAGATACCAAGAAAAACCTTCGTAATACGAAGAAAAACCACCTTCGTATTATGCTTGCGCCATTTCCTTCGTAATATGGGAAATTTCTTCGTAAGCCATTTAGAGTGTAAGGGAACATTAAGTTGCACACGAGCTAATCTCATTAAGATGATGTGCTGTCCATTCTGTTCCAGGTTACGCGAACGCCCCACTCAAGACTTCAATCCACTCAAAAATCAACCCGACAGCGGAGAGCTATCATCATCATTCCAGCGGCATGTTACTTAACCGAATGCAAATAAACAGTATTACAAAGTTTCCATCACTTGTGTGGTCTTGTTGAAATTGACTCCCATGCAGCCGAAGGCAAACGCAAAGTTAGACAAATGCGAATACACTGTCAAAAGGCTTGCTAACTAGTACATAGCTTTTCAAAGTTGCCACCCTAAGCTTTATCAATACACGTGTACGTCAGACCGTACGTGTCTTATCGTAGCGACAATCCACACTTTGATGCCACTCGTTCGAATACTTTTTTTGGTCAAATGGTTCATCGATTCCATTTAGGAAACGGTGGGCACATCGGTCCATTTCCAATTTCGCGGGGATAGAACGACCGCAGCGTCACCATCCGGGTGTGATCAAAAAGCACTCAACTCTGCGAACATATTCCAGAAAACAGCGACGAAATTTAGCCGCTGCCGGACTGATGACGAGAACCTTTCCCTGAATTCATTGTCAAAAATTGGGACACGTTCCACATTCAGGTGGCAAATGCTGAAGTGGTAATGTGTAGCTCAAAGTGCTAAAAAAATTACGGTTACACACTAGGGTACTCCGAGAGGTTCTGGGCCGGAAGGAAACCAATCCATCCAGAAGTCAAAATTGAGAGATTATATGAAAACCATGTGCAGTGGACGAGGTCTGGAGCTCGTCAGCAGCGCATATTTCACAAAGATACCTGTCATTTCTGACTTCCGTTTCTGTTCCGGGCCAGAGCCTCTCTGGGGGGCCAGAGCCAGAGTTCACCCCTAGTAGGAAAACTACCTTAGGGGCATTCCAGAGCCGATTGACTGGTCGAAGTTGACCGCGTTTGCTCATTTTTGGCTCAAATGTTACCTACCAATAGGTAAACGACCGCACAAAATTTCAGGCCTCTAGGTCGATTAGTACATACTGAAATGCTCCGGAATTCTTTACTTTTGGGTCCTACCCAGATGTACATTTGAGTCGCAAATTCGAGTCTGCCCGCAGAATCGGCCTCAAAGCAATCCATCAGTGATAAAAATGCACTCAAAGTCAAAAAATAAATGTTTTGAATGTTTTACAATAGGGTGGGCCGTAAAACACGATTTTTCGATATCGCAAACGTAATAGCGCGCCAAAGTTACTTCATGGCAATACAAACTCAACGCGATCTGGGCCAGGTCTGTAACTTAAAGCTTGACCCTCGCGCATCGACGTTGAAAATTCGAAAATTTGACTTTTACGGGTTTTTCTAAAAACAGCCATAGAAACTGAACCTGATGTCCAAAGGATGTTTCCGAGACGGAAATTGAAACGTCTGATCATGCTTTATCAGTTTAAGACCACCGGGACCCTCTACGAGCAGTAGGGGACTGATAGGAGAAAATTATAAAATTACAATTTTTTTCCGGTTTTTTCTAAAACGCAAAAATTGCCTTCAGGGTTTGATACGGCCATCCTGACGTCACCGTACCCGAACCATACCCCGAATCATCTTCTCTAAGGACCCCTTCCCCGTTTTCAGCGCACGGGGTACCCCGGGATCCGTTCACACGTTAGGATATGGACGCCAAAAACACATGTTTTACTAAAAATGCAAATTATTGTTACTCAGGGCACTGTAGGGCACTCGTCTTGTCCGTATGAACTGTAGTGACTTAAAATCGATTACTAGATGGTGTCTTTTCGTCGCAGGAACCCACCAGTATATAGACAATCGGACAAAGAGACCTTTAGCACGCTATTTGCACTGTAAATCTCGTTAGTCTGGACTTAAAACGTATTTCAGGCCGTAAATGGCTCGTCTGGATTAACGACAGAAGGTGGTTGCACGTTTGTACGGGTTATTCTTATCCATCGTGTAGATTTTCATTTCCTTTCTCACCGTTATGTCCGTTTGCAACGGCCCTGGGATCATACTTCCGCTTAGTGCGCTGTAGAGCTGAGCCCCCCGTAGACCTATTTCATTTGTCTATGTTATGGTAGTTTCTCAATACCGTTAAAATTTGTACAACTGCCTGCGACAGCCGCAGGGACATGTAACTCCAGTTGACCAATTTTGGAAGTGATGCCTTCTTACAGGTAAACATTTACCTTCGTTCTGGCGTACTGTACCTTCGCGTTTTGCTACATTCTCCTGCGTACAGTATCAAGGTGTCAACTTCTGCATGCGCTGTAGGAAAAATCCACGGGAAAAATACAGGCACAGTCTGGTAGAACATTTGCCTGGTATCACCATACCTCAGCCAGTACGGTTTTTGGGGTACGGAGTACGGGTTTTTCATGACATAGGATCTCATGGGAAGCACGGTTTTTGGGTACAGCTGTTCTGTACATCGTGTGGTACGGTCTAGCCGTACCTTTTTCCTTGAAATGTACGGCCTTTTTAAAAGTGTCGTAGCCAAACCAGTGGTTGGGTGGGTAAGGGTGGTGGTGAATCTCGACGTGCTGCCACCTTCTCGTGGTGAGGGCTGAGTCTTCTCGGATTTTCCGGGCGAGCCAAGAGCAGTACAGTGGAAACCGAATGTTTGGAAAACGGATTTAACCGAACCTTCAATGGAAATAGCGTTCTACAGGTCTCTCCATCCGATTGTCAATATACTGGTAGGTGCCTGTGACGCAAAGACACCATCTAGTAACCGATTTTGATTCACTACAGTTCATACGGACGAGACGAAGGCCCTACAGTGCCCTGAGTACCGATAATTTGCAGTTTTAGTAAAACATATGTTTTTGGCGTCCATATCCTAACGTGTGAACGGATCCCGGGGTACCCCGTGCGCTGAAAACGGGGAAAGGGTCCTTAGAGAAGATGATTCGGGGTATGGTTCGGGTATGGTAACGTCAGGATGGCCGTATGAAACCCTGAAGGCAATTTTTGCATTTTGTAAAAAACGGAAAAAAATTGAAGTTTTGTAATTTTCTCCCATCAGTCCTCTACTGCTCGTAGAGGTTCCCGGTGGTCTTAAACTGATAAAGCATGATCAGACGTTTCCATTTCCGTCTCAGAAACATCATTTGGACATCAGGTTCAGTTTCTATGGCTGTTTGTAGAAAAATCCGAAAAGTCGAATTGTCGAATTTTCAACGTCGATGCGCGAGGGTCAAGCTTCAAGTTACAGACCTGGCCCAGATCTCGTTGAGTTTGTATTGCCATGAAGTAACTTTGGCGCGCTATTACGTTTGCGATATCGAAAAATCGTGTTTTACGGCCCACCCTACTGAGAATCTTTTCTCTCGCGTTGTCCACGAGGTGGGGTCTGCGCGCCGGGAGGTTAGACTTCCCTTCTTGCGCGAGACTCGGAGTGCCTTGGGATAGGCTTCCCTTCGTGCACGTTCCGCCTCACCTCTCGCCCTAGCCGTCTTTTGTCCGTTGGCCTTGCCAGCCGGCCTGTGATTGGCTGTGGCTCTCCGGGTTTCCACCAGTGGCCGCGCTTGCCGAGGGCGCTGTTGTCGCGTTCTCGGCTCGCGCTTCCCCCTTCCACTGTCCATATCGTGCGTACAGAGCTGGCTATTTGCAGTGCTTTCTGTTATATGCAGAACTTTATTTATTTTCATTCTCGTAGTCCGTGGAGCCTCATTTGCATTCGAAGGCGTTAGAGCGCGATGGCTGTGACGTCACCATGGGACCTCTAGACTTGAAAGCGTCTAAAAACGCAAAGAGCTTAAAACTGGGTTAAGTGAAAGGCATTTTCCCAATACCGGGGACTTAGATATTTGTACTGGAGAGTGATTTTAAAGTGACATAGCGAAATAAGAAAGTGGAAATTGTGTTTGGGTTAGTCGCCACGGACCTCTGGAGTAGTTCCAATAGCGCCCACCACGAGCAGATAGAGCGCGCTGAGCTTTGCCTTCGAATGCGAATAGGCCCACGGGCAGCGGCAGCGTGCACTCCTCCCCTTTTCCTCTCAAGGTCGTGGCAGGAGGCGCAGTTTTCCCAGCGTACTACCAACTGCCATCGTTTCCATCAACTGTTCGCACGTCTCAAATTAAAAAAAAACATTCATAATTAAGATTCTTATTCGCTTAGAATGACTTAAAGCTCAACTTCGTATTTAAAAACAGTATTCAAATCACCCTTCATTTTTTTAATTTGTTTTTTTTTAATATTTTGCGTTGGCTTTCCTGCACGACGGACCAACTGCTGCCACAACAGGAACGCATACACTTAACCACTCTTATGACCGTAATACTAAATTAATATCCGTATTTTCTTCATGATGCCATTTCATTTTAATATTTTCTCAAATACACACCTCTTACACAACCTTCAAATTTCCACCTCCTACCATTTGAAATTCTCAAAAATCCACTTCCAAATGATGCCTACCCTTCACGCTGGGAACCCTACGTGTATACGTGTGACTTGCAGCCGACGCTTGGGCTGACGCTTCCAAACAAATCGACGATACGGTGTCGCAGCCGCAAGCAGGTAGTCGAATGTTTACACCACTCTACTTTACCAGAGTTATCCCATGTGTGTGACCATTTTCGCCACGACTGAAAGGACGTCGGAAAGGCAGAAATCAATTAACGACGCGACGCTGGTGCGAAGGCTGTGCGACACCCGACTCTGCCATAACCTCTGGGACATCCGTTCTTATTTCAGAAAGATCCGAGCACCGAGCAACTGAATTTGTTCCGATGCGATTGAGAAAGAAGAAAGCAGCCCGCCCGTATCTCTCTGCAACATTTTGTATCCGCGTGAATCGATGCTGAACCATCTTGAGAGCCTACAGCCGCTGGTGAGTTCAGTTCCTGTGGCCTCAGTTCTGCACTGGCATGTTCAAATGCATTTTGAGGTGGAGAGTTGGAGAATTCTGCACTACTTTCTTGGGTACACAACCTTATCACCATGAGCTGCATTATTTTGTTCTGTCAATATTTGATAGTTTTTGTGTATCTCAGCTTATTGACATGCGAGTTACCAACCTAAAACCTAAATATCTCAACATGTTCTTACTCCATCGGAGTGAAAAGTCTCAGACTTTTGATTCAGCTTGTATCATTCGTCATGTTGAAATGTTCATAGATTCATTTGTCATAAAAGAAGTACTTTTACTTTCTGTGAATGGAAATAACTTGGTTGCAGTTCCCCCTGCTCTTCTTGGTATCGTTTACTTTTTGTTCTTGTTGCCTGTTTCACAGGAGTGCATAGGTAACAAGAATGGAAACACCTCAGTGCCTTCATCTCGTGTAGTATGTCTGCGTTACAAGTAGATTCAGTGCTGAAATTTTGCCTTCCCTTCCTCCCTGTTGCTCTGGCCATCTGTCCACGAAGAACGGCTTGGCTGCCATCTCCTCCCCGATCACTTGCGAGTGTGCACAGTTTGCTAATGCGATTGGGACTAAAGTTGGTTTTAATTGTCTGTCCTTGCGGCTATGTGATTCTCCTGCACTGGGGTGTGATAGCAATGTAGCTGCCCCTATGATTGACACACTAAAACGTTTCCCTGCACATTTTTGTGAATTTGTTATACACATAAAATAATTTGAATTTGTTTTTACCACTTGTTCCGTTGGACCTTTCTTATGCAATTTGTTTGTATGTGATCTTCTCTTTTCCATGTGCTCTGTCTGTGCCCATGTGGGAAACCCAATGCAACTGATAACAGACAAGATCTGCGAGTGCTGCCACGGTCAAAAATTTGCTGGCTGCCTGACGTCACATCCTGCATCTTGTAAGTGGGCATTTACTGAGTGAGACAAGGACAACAGCAGAAGGCCAAGCAACTTCATGCCAAGCTTGCTGCAAAGTTTTTCAAGTCTCAGCTGGACCATGCATCACTTCAATCTGGCATGAGGTAAGAAACAGTTCCAACATGTGCCTCTTTTTTGAACAAATGTCTAATGTAGTGATATCTTAAACTAGTGTCCTTCATTATTTTGCCACATATAAGCTACATTGAAAGCAGCTGACTTTAAGCGTTTCTCCCATCGAGTAACATTTTTGGAATTTTGCCGGAAATGAGTGGAATTTGTTGTGAGGCAAAACTAACCCTTCCCCCCAGGTGGATTGTGCTCATTTACAAGAGAGAAAGTTACTTTTAGTTAAGAATCTGTTTTAAGCCCCATCTGAGCTGTTTGGATGGAGCAAATATGCATCCAGGTCCAAAACAGTTAATTGGCTGAGCGATAGCGAAGCCTGTTACTCCAGTGGGGTTGAAAAGTTTTGTCTGTCTGTCTGTCTGTCGGTCTGTCTGTCCGCACTACTCCTCCTGAACGGCTCGGCCGATCTCGGTGAGATTTTGCACACTTCTTGGGTATGTCCTTGGCTCGGCACACGCGAAATTTCACCATCCTAGCTCAACTGGTTTAGTTTTTATAGGCGAAAAACACCTAAAAAACGGCGAAAAATAGAGTTTTCTGCAGATAGACCACTTCTGTCTTGGAGAAAGGGGGGTCTGGGGGGCGGAGCCCCCCAGCCTCGACAAGTTAAAAAGTGACAAGGGTCAAGATCGTGTTATCTGTAGATAAAACAACTCTATTTAGAATGTAGGGGGGTCTGGGGGGCGGAGCCCCCCAGCATTCAACAAGTTAAAAAATTAACCGACAAGGTAGGTGTACGCCAGACCGTGTCTTGTCGTAACAGGCTTCGCGATGCTGCGCCAGTTATGACAATCCACGCCTGGCGTTACACCTACCTTGGCCTGCGGCGCTTGCCTGCCTTCGGCAGGCTAGGTTTCTTTTCCAGGCATCCGCATACCAATTTGCGTGATTGAAGGTCAAAACAGCATTTGATTTCGTGCCTAGGGCTGCATTGGCCTGACTTTTTAACTTGTCGAGGCTGGGGGGCTCCGCCCCCCAGACCCCCCTTTCCTTAAGACAGAGGTGATCTGCCTGCAGAAAACTCGATTTTTCGCCGTTTTTTAGGTGTTTTTCGGCTATAAAAACCGAACCAGTTGAGCTAGGATTGTGAAATTTCGCGTGTGCTGAGCCAAGGACATACCCAAAAAGTGTGCAAAATCTCACCGAGATCGGCCGAGCCGTTCAGGAGGAGTAGCGCGGACACACACACACACACGCACGCACGCACGCACGCAGACAGGAAAAAATTTTCAACCCCACCTGAGTAACAGGCTTCGCTATCGCTCAGCCAACAACGGACAAGCCATTGCCTGCCGCAGGCAGGCTAGCGCCGCAGGCCAAGGTAGGTACGCCAGGCGTAGATTGGAGGAACAGGCAGCGAAACATCGCGAAGCCTGTTATGACAAGACGCGGTCTGGCGTAAACCTACCTTGTTAAGTTACACAAGGTAGGTTTACGCCAGACCGCGTCTTGTCGTAACAGGCTTCGCGATGTCTCGCTGCCTGTTTCTCCAATCCGCGCCTGGCGTACCTACCTTGGCCTGCGGCGCTAGCCTGCCTTCGGCAGGCAATGGCTTCTCCATCGTCGATTTTCCTAACTTGTTGCGTGCTGGGGAGCTCTGCCCCCCAGACCCCCCTCTCTTCAAGACAGAAGCAATCTGCCTACAGAAAACTCGATTTTTCGCCGCTTTTTCAGTGTTTTTCGGCTATAAAAACCGAACCAGTTGGGCTAGGATGTTGAAATTTCGCGTGTGCCGAGCCAAGGGCATACCCAAAAAGTGTGCCAAATCTCACCGAGATCGGCCGAGCCGTTCAGGAGGAGTAGTGCGGACAGACACACACACACACACAGACAGACAGACAGGAAAAATTTTTCAACCCCACTGGGCGAATCCAGGTCAACTTGAACGGGGTTTGACCCCGACCCCCTCAGAACTTGCTCCAAACATTCTTAATTCATTGGTCTATACCTAAAAGCACCCCCAAAAAAATTTGGTTGTAAAATATTAACATTTGGCTGAGCTGTGGCACTTGGTCAATTTTAGTGAAATTAGTACAATGAAAATTTGAAAAAACAATTTTTTCTCGAAATGGGGATTTTTGAGGGCTGATTTGTTTGATATGAGTTGTCTTATGATAGACCAATGCAATGCCGGTCATAGACCCCACCTCACTCAATTTGCACTGGAGGCTGAAGAATTTCTAGTAATTTTACCCAAAAATCGAATTATTAAACCTTGCCCCACCTTTCAAAATTCATTTCTATGCATGAAAATCTACCTTAGGGCCCTGGAAATAACATATAAAAAATCTGGGATGGAGTTTTTTATTTTAAGGAAATCGTTCCAGAAAGCGCTACTTTTGACTTGTCGATTTAGCTAAAACGCATGAAATTTAACCAAATGTAAAGTACGATGAGGTCAATCTTGCTATTTTAGTCTCTTTTTGCAGAATCAGAGGCAAATGGAGTTTGAGGGGAGTAAAAGAGAACATAAATACAATTTGCAAATGTACTACAAACACCAACTTTTGACAGCTTCTTAATAGGAAGTCCAAGAGAATATAATACGTAATAATGAAGTGGATCTGGCGGAATTGTTAATCGATTTTCACCTTTTACCTCTGCTGTCTGTCTCATATTTGTCCACTTCTGTCCTGTCTTTTGTGTCTGGAGGGAATGCCATTTCTTATTGTTGAGCCTCCAACTCAGTTTGGTGATGGAACCCAAACGGTCAACTCAACTCGAGACGGAACCAACCATAGAGAGTAATTCCAGCCCATGGTGGAACGAAATCCGGGGTTGGGTCATGGAATCGGTTCAAGCTTTGTGGGTTCAATTGATACCAGTAGGACATATCAACCGTAGGAGGAAAGTTGCCTAGCTCCAACAACACTTGAGATGTCTACATTTTTCTAAATTTAACAAAGTTAGCGGGAAAATGTCGCTTTCAGAATTTTTGATAGAGTTGTTTTTTTCAGTTCTAGCTTGTGTTTCCTTTTTCTGCCTAACCTTCATTTAGGTAAAATTATGACTAGCCAGAACTGTAGAAACAACATTAACTATCCAACAGCAAAATGTAGATATCTCAAGTGACCTTTGAGCTAGCCCACTTTGCACCTAGGGTTGATATGTCCTACTGGTACCTAATGACCCAACAAATCTTGAACCGATTCCGTGACCCAAACCCGGATTTCGTTCCACCAAGGGCTGGAATTACTCTCTATGGTTGGTTCCGTTTTGAGTTGAGTTGGCCGTTTGAGTTCCATGACCAAACTGAGTTGCAAATCATTTGCAAATTGTACTTATGTTCTATTTTACTCCCCTCAAACTCCATTTGCCTCTGATACTGCATAAAGAGACTAAAATAGCAAGATTGACCTCATCGTACTTTACATTTGGTGAAATTTCATGCGTTTTAGCTAAATCGGCAAGTCAAAAGTAGCGCTTTCTGGAACGATTTCCTTAAAATAAAAAACTCCATCTCAGATTTTTTATATGTTATTGCCAGGGCCCCAAGGTAGATTTTCATGCATAGAAATGAATTTTGAAAGGTGGGGCAAGGTTTAATATTCCGATTTTTAGGTAAAATTACTAGGAATTCTTCAGCCTCCAGTGCAAATTGAGTGAGGTGGGGTCTATGACCGGCATTGCATTGGTCTATCATAAGACAACTCATGTCAAACAAATCAGGCCTCAAAAATCCCCATTTCGAGAAAAAAATGTTTTTTTCAAATTTTCATTGTATTAATTTCACTAAAATTGACCAAAAAACAAAAAGTGCCACAGCTCAGCCAAATGTTAATATATTTTTCAACCAAATTTTTTTGGGGGTGGTTTTAGGTATAGACCAATGAATTAAGAATGTTTGGAGCAAGTTCTGAGGGGGTCGGGGTCAAACCCCGTTCAAGTTGACCTAGATTCGCCCACAATAGAAATTTGAAAAAACAATTTTTTCTCGAAATGGGGATTTTTAAGGCCTGATTTGTTTGATATGAGTTGATCCAGGAAGCGGAAGAAGGGGACAACAGTTGTCTTATGATAGACCAATGCAATGCCGGTCATAGACCCCACCTCACTCAATTTGCACTGGAGGCTGAAGAATTTCTAGTAATTTTACCTAAAAATCGAATTATTAAATCTTGCCCCACCTTTCAAAATTTATTTCTATGCATGAAAATCTACCTTAGGGCCCTGGCAACAACATATAAAAAAATCTGGGATGGAGTTTTTTATTTTAAGGAAATCGTTCCAGAAAGCGCTACTTTTGACTTGTCGATTCAGCTAAAACGCATGAAATTTCACCAAATGTAAAGTACGATGAGGTCAATCTTGCTATTTAAGTCTCTTTATGCAGTATCAGAGGCCAAAGGAGTTTGAACAAATTTTTTAACAAAAAATTGTTTTTATTTTTTTTCTTGAAAACTATTGCAGATATAAGGCCCATTGTAGTCAATTCTATGACACTACTAGGGATGAGTCTCCCTGATTTTTTCCCCACAGATCTGAGCAAGTATGCGAACAAAATCTTACGAGAACCAAAATTTTAAACGTTTCGACTAAATCTCCAAAAAATGTCCAAAGTCACTTTCCTTTAAGCCAAAATGAAGCTTACTCAATTATCTAAAAGGGTTTTAACACAGAAATTGTAAAATCTTAATCCATCTACATCAAAAATTTTTTTTTACAAAGTGTGTTTAACATGTATGAGCCCCCTTAAGTGGGTAAGAAGTGTACAGTGTCACCAGACCTTGCGACTCCCCTACTTAGTATGTCTCCATGGACCCACTCTGCAAACTGAAATGTGTGCATGGCACGCTCTATTTGGAGCATGCCAAGAAGCACGCTTTAAATTGGAGCGTGCTTACCAGGCACGCTCTAAATTAAAGCGTGCCTGCCAGGCACGCTCTATTTTAAAGCGTGCTTAGCAAGCTCACTCTAAACTACAGCATGGACGGCAACCACACTCCTGAATGCTCGTAATGGCTTTTCTTTTTAA